CTCTAAGTGCTGTGTGGTTATATGAGTGGTCACTAATATCTCTGCTTCTCTTTAACATTGAAGTTTTAAACTATTTTTAATTTGCTTTAAAAACTATACCTGTAGTACTACTAAGATGTATATACAGATAAGATCTTTCCTAAAAGCATCCTCAACTGGAGGTGAATGAAAGACAACTAATAATCCTCCAACATGACTGTGTGGATCTCTCCGACAATTCTGTGTGTGAATGTCACATGAGACGAGCCCACAAACAGCGGCATGAGGCACAGCAGGGACCCTGCATTCTGACACAAGCTAAGTTCTCTGAGGGGTGCTTCCTGATCTCAGATGCCTCTCTTCTCCCTCTTCTGATCAAGCACAACATTCACGTGCCCACACACAGTTAAGAACCTTCACAAGAACAGCGAAACTCAGGCCTCTGAGCACATGAACCATGGCGTGATGATGATGGATCGGCCAGAGGCCAGGAATGCTAACTTGAACTAAGAGAGGGCCTCCTTTGTTAAGCCCGTATTTGAATAGCTTAATATACACCACAAGTTGTAAAATCAATTCACATTCACAAGATCAAAAAAGAAAACCAACTTACTTGCTCAAATTCATTCTTTTGAAATTCTTCAAAACCGAAAATGTCCAGTATTCCAATGTCCAATGTCTGCGGGCTGGAAGGAAACAGAGCAGAGTAAACGGGCATCCTTGGTAGCCTCCCCTTTAAGGAGACTGCAAATCCACAGCGAGTCACCACCGATTTAAATGAAAAATCAGTGAACAGTGTCTTTGGAGTCTGGAGGAAAACTCTAAAAGTTGGCAGCACCAGGCTACCCCTTTAAGGATGCTTCTCACACTATACACTGATAAATGCACCTTGCTCACTAGGTTAGAAACAGACCTATGGATGGTACGTATGACTTCGTACGTGTTTCTCTGAAGGTGTGTCTGTGTCCCTTCCCTCTAGACCAGACCTGCTGGCCCTCAGACTATGAATCCACATGCTCTGTGGCTCCCTCTTCCTATGTGCGCTCCAGGATCCTCATACAAGACTGTTCCATTCTGTATAAGAGCTCCGTTAGGAGGTAGGTGATCTCTGGTGGGCCAAATTTTGACCCTTCCTGCTGTTATTTCCCCCACGGACTGTTTACAAAGCAAGGGCGACTTTGACAAATTTAAACCATTTTGTTATTCAATATGAACTGTCTTTATGGGAATTCATGGCAGTCTTCGTGACGGTGAGAGTCCTAGTGTCTGTGCCCAAGTGGCAGGTGAGGAAGGACAGGCAGGGTGGCTCTGAGCACCCAGACTCAGGCACCGATGAGAAGATATTTGTCATATACATCTTGGAAATTTAAACTGACAGATCTTCCCTCAGAAATTACTCCGATCAGAACAAAGCCAGGAAAATGTTTGAGTCGTTTGCACTGGTGTTCCCATGCGGAGGCCCTCGTTCTAACAAAATGGCTAAACTATCAAAGAGGCTTATGACCAAGGCTTTTCATTGGTTAAGTATCGTGGTACCCAAAGAAATGACTAATGTCCCACAACCAAGATAAGGAATTAAGTTTCGTACATGTGTAGTACATTGATGTAGTAAGAACGGTCCCATTTACAGGACTGAAACACACTCTCTAAACAGAGCATTGCCCAAGTAGAGACAAACAGTCAGGAGGAAACAGAGCGTGCTCAGGAGAGGGAATCAGGATTTGTGTTTACGTCTCACCTTTGCTTGGTTATTTTGATAAAGGGCAAATATTTTACCGATGCTTACAAAATTATATGAAAACATAGGAAACATTTAACAACAATAGTAAGTCAAGAGAAGAGCTAGAAACAAATGTATTCTTTAGAAGAATTGGAAACTGTGTAACGGTAATCACGTTAAACAATGCACAAGGATGCCCCAGTGGATAAAACCCTTGCCATGCAGGCCTGAGGACCTGAGTTGTTTTTTTAAATATCTGATTGGGTTCCAAACATATTTAATCACTAATTGAGGTGGTTTAAAAAAATCCAGAGTTACAATCAAAATTAAATGTAAGTTTAGAATACGGTGAGGAGGTCTGTCTGCAAGGCCTCGTGGGAAGGCATCCTTCTTTTGAAGCTGGTTTCGGTCACTTAGGACTGAGTGGAGTTGTGTCTGTGACCTCCATTCTAGGAACTTGCAGTCAGGGAGAGGTCTGTGATGGCAAAATGACCAACATGGCTGCCATCCCCTGGAAGCTGTGGTCCTGTCACACATGTGTGACACTCTTATGTAGGCTGCAGAAGAGAGAAGCATGAACATCCTCAGACTTACCAACACCCAGGCCTTCGGGTGTAAGGAACACAGCTATGATGGAAGCAAGCCCTGAGAGTCCTAATTGGAGCTTCCCTGGTGGTTCACAATGTACATCAGCTTATTAGGAAATTAAACACCTTTTATATCACACAAATATTAACTGCTGGGCCACTAATCTGATCACATGTAAATGTGTGAGTGGGAGAAGGTTTGACTCTTGAGTAACTTCCTAAGAGTCAAAATACCATTGGAGCTGAGGTGTCATGGCAGGCAGAAGCCGGGTTACTTTGCCTACACCCTCATCCCCTTAGAGTTCCCCTGGAGAGTCCTCTGAGGCACAGCTAGGCTCAGGAAAGGGACTCCAAACATATTTAGTCATGAGATAAAAATACATTCTGAAAAGATGGTCAGTCAAGGAAAGTCTCAGTTAGGAGCCACGACAGAGTGGGGTTAAACCCAATTTCGACACATGACAAGGAGGCCTTCGACAAGGCCTGGATGTGGGACATTCTTTCAGGCCAGCTATTGGGAAAAAAACTAAGGCAGAAAACCCTCAGCTAAGTTATAGTTGAATCAGCTTCTTTGGCAGAGAGCAGACCAATAGGGCACCAGGATGGGTAAGAATTATTCTGGATGCCTTCCAGGCTTGAACATTGTTGTTCATCTCATTGCCCTTGGGGGCACCTGGATTCACAGAAGTTAGTGTTGGGGTGTCCCTGAAGGGGTTGACTGCTGTGGCACCCACAAGTCGTGCATCCAGAAGTCATGCGACTGTCATAAAAACGAACGCGGTAAAAGACTCTTGTACGCTTTTATCTGTGAAATCTGCAACTCGGTCCAGTGCTGTTAACAAGCACATGTCCCCTCGTGAGAGCTTGCATTTACAGCCATGCTGTATGCAGACTCATTGCCAAGAATATCTCCAGAAACAGAAATCAAGTCAACCGACTACGTGGTTTAATTATTTTTTTTAAAAAAAACATAAACAATATTTAAATGATATCAATGCTTGCATTCCGGATCTAAAACAACTCTCACTTCAGGATGACGGGAGGCTGGGTAAATAAAGCCTCGCTGTGCCACTGACTGCTCTCTAGTCATTAAAATGATGGTTCTGCAGCTTAGAAACACAGATGAATAGTTACTGGAAATGAAAACAGCCAGGTGCAAAACACAGCATTTGAGGGATGAGGCAACGAGGGCCTTCATACGTGCCTGGAGACAGCCCAAATTGGAAGTTTGGAATGTGATTTGGCTTCCTTTACTGAACTAAAGAAGTGATTGTGGAATGACCCAGAAATTCCACTCCTGGGCATGTATCCAAGAGAGCGAGTCCATATGTCCAATCGAAGACAGATACGAGTATCTGGGGACTTCTTTGTTCATATAATAAGACTGGTAATGCTACACCAAATGATGAGCCAGTTACCTGTGTTCTTATGTGGCTGCATTTTTTACAGGGCAATCTTGGACAGAAGCAAGCTAAGAATTAGTAACTAGTAACAGTTGAGTGTGCGCCTTAATTCTGAACACTGAGTAGAAGCAGCCACCCAAGTAAAAGAAAAGGAAGGAGCCAGGTCATCCTGAAGATCACGCAGTTGGAGGCTGCAGGGTCGTAGGTGGATACAGAATCCACGGAACCACGCAGATAATGAGGAGTTAAGGTGGGCTGGCCTTCAGCGGAAGAGTAAGGAGATGTAGGTTCCTGTGGATCCCAATATGCAGAGAACAGAGTTTGCCAGATAAATAAAGGCTAAGTGATAGGCTCTTAGATACATGTTTATCTTGGCGCGAGTAAGTCCAGAATAACCTGAGGATATGACATTTTATGACCATCCTCACCTGCTACAAATCCCCACAGACCATGTGTTATCAGAAAGGTAACTGTGGGCCAGTGCATTCCAGATAAGGCTTCTGAGTAGCCCAGACCTTGAAGGAGAAGTGCAGACGTATTTTCAAGAAGTTGAACACAGTCACCATAGTGTTTTAATACAACCCACCCTTGAGTTCATTTGTGCCGAGAGGGTCAATTTTCATTATCAACTCAGCTCCTGGGCATGGCTACTAGGGAGTTAGCAGAGACAATTGGCTGAGCAGGTCACACCTTCCCTGAATGTAGACAATACCTAGACAATACCAGTCTATGGACCAGGAGCTCACACTGAATAAAAGGGAGCGGGGGAGGAGAAAGCCAGGCACATACATGCCAGCATTCCCTGCTCTCTGCTTCTTCACTCATGGAGACATGGCGAGGGGTCTCAGATGCACACTTCTGTCCCCATCCGTGGTCCATACTTCCTCACCATGTTGGGTTGTATCCTCAAACCTTGAGCCAAGACACATCCCTCCTCCTTTAACTCACTTCCTGTTGGGGACTGGATCACAAGGACAAGAAAAGCAACCGGCACAACCTTGGTCTGCCCTCCCATGTCTGCGGACACCTTCCGCTGTCACCTGCTGTGGTCAACTAAAAGCTAGATTTTAGAGATGGAGTCTGGACAAAGAAGATGTCACTTCTTCTGGCAGCGGGCTTCATGTGTCCTTGGCCAGAAGCACAGATTAGGAAACCACAGGGCATCTTGTGATTGCCATACATTGTCACAGAGGGAGTGATGATCCGACAAGTTTGTATGTGACATATGAATCCTGGGGTGGGGTGGGGTAAGCCACAACAAAGAAAGCAGACCAGACTCATGCCCCCTGCTTTGTGTACATGTTCATAAGGCTAGTTCTGGCCTTTTCAGGTTGAGGGCCAGGCAGTAGTTGGCATGGCTATCTTTTGCCTCTTCTGCAAGTGAATGCGTCCTCATCTTTAGAGTACCCACTGTATAAAGCAGTGGTGGAGAAGGAACCAATGTGAGGACGGAGGACCCAGGACACGGTCATTTCCAGGTGATGTTTCTTTCTGTCTTGGGTCTAGTCAATGCTCCCCTTTGCTTGATGTCTGTGTCCTTTAGTAGGCGACCAAATGGCAACGCTTGGGTATGGGAGTGAGGGCTTGCGATCATGTCGATGCAGTGATGGCTGTCAGATCTTGTGCCAGAGAAAGACTCATGCCCACCACAACCCAGCACAAGGCGGAAAGGAGGGTAAATTCAGAATTATTTCAGAAGTTCATAGTCCGTTTTCAGTAAGCCTTTGGCTCACAGAAGTGAAGGACAGTCATCAAATGCGTAAGACCAGGTGGAGAGAAACTTAGAAGGTAAAAATAAAATAAAAAATCACCGTATGGTCTGGTTTGAGAGCCAGTGGTTCAGGGAGACAGATCAAGGCAGAAGACATAGTAGGGATACAAGGCCCATAGGCTGGGTATGAGGTTTTCTGTGATCTTCTAAGAAGAGGGGTTGTTACTAACCATGGGAAAGCAATGTTCCCCCAACTGGGAAAGGCTGGCAGAATGGATATGTGAAGCTGGCTTTCAGAGACATGCTGCTCTCCCACAGAAAGTCACTGTGTGAAGGGGGCCACCGCACCCCAGGCAGGAAGCTACACTCTCCGTGAAGCTGCTACCATTTCCCAGAGCTGGACTTCATAAGGTGGAGCCGCTGGAAGGGTCGAGCTCACAGGGTCATAGGATTTACAAGAGTGACAGTCTGATCAGCAACCTTCAAAATTCACCCACTAACCAAGCCAGGCACGGTGGTGCACACATGAAATCCCAGCCCCTGAGAGGCTGAAGCCAGAGGACTGATCATATGGTAAGACCTTGTTTTAAAAAATAGAAATCCAAAATCTATCTAGCCCTTTCAGATCCACTGAGAGTCAAAGATTGCTGGGTGCTGCTGAATTTATCAGTATTATCTGAGCTAAGGAGGGTATTTCAGTTTGTATTGTGCAGCCTGGAGTGTAAGACTCCATTTCCAAAGATACCATATCCTGAGGTTATATAGAGCTACTGGCTTATCCTACAAGGGAGGTTCTTGACCACCACTGGTCCACTAGCAAAGTCTCAGAACACTTAGCTTCTCATGGAGTAGAACCTTCTGTAGCTCCTTGATCTTATCTTATTGCTCTTAGAGCCTTATTGGTATGGTAAGATTGCTTGCTGCAGGGAACTGTGCCTATTTTTGCCACAGAGGTAACTCTGCTTAGGTGCTTGGTGAAGCCAGAGTAAGCGCTCACCATGTGCCTCCAGGTTGCTCACGGGGTGGGGTGGGGGGTTGAAATGTATCTCTGAGCAGGTCTCACAGAGTGAGGAGCTGAGAGAGATCACTCACAGGATGGCTTGCACATCTCCTCCTGCAGAGACTGTCAGGATGCTTTGGATCTCAGAGTGAGTCTTCGAGTGTTAGACTCAGATTCTGTGGTTGCTCAGGAGCATCTCAGGGGCTGTCACAGACCCCAGTGTTCACTGTCTGGAGGACAGCACCTTGGCAGGGTTAGAGCCCTTCTGAGAGCAGGAGTGGCTCTGTTGGTGAGAGGTAGCCTCTTCCGTGACTTGCTGGATCTGCTTTATGAACACAGTAGATCAGTAGTCCACGGACACTCTGGGAGACACTGATCAGTAGTCCAC